TGGTATCTGGCATGAAAACCTTTGCAGCAGAGACCTTAAATCCGGGCAGATGCTAGCTTGAGCCAACATAATCAGACTTATTACAGTACACCCCCCAACTCCCTTACCAGTTCATGGTTTGTCTTTCCTCCTATTTTCAGTTGTCTCGACAAAATAATTTGGCTTACCTACTCATCCTCATCTGTTCCCTTCATGTTTAATATATGAGAGAGGAACAAGCTGTTATTCATTTATGTTTGAGTAATCACAACATTTTGAGTAATTGATTATAGTATTAAACAGTAGAAGTTTTGAGATGTTCTGGTTTTGAAGTTACTGTACTGTGCAAAAGTCTTGAGCTACTCCTCATTTGTTTTATATGTTATTAGTTTCTGATTTTCTGTTTTGAAGTCTGTTCTGGTTTTTTTTTCTGTTTTTTAGTGTTGTTACTAGGGCTGCCACGATTAGTCGACTAGTCACTATTACGCCGACTATCAAAATCATCAACGACTGATTTAATAGTCGACGCGTCGTTTAAAGCTTTGTAAGATCACAAAAGACGCAGGAATAAGTAGTAGGATTTAAGAGTATAATAACGGACTGAAACAGAAGATGGCAGCACTGCATGTACAAGGATGCCAGCTGCCGTTAAACCCCGAAGAAGAAGAAGCTGTGTCCCATAATTCATAGCGCGGCCCAGAACAGTTGTCAACAATGGCAGCAGCTAGGTAGTTTTAATATTAGTCTTATTATTCTTTCTGTGTCACAAAATAAACGTTTAACATATTTTCAGGCGAGAATGTAGCTGTATAAGCTTCAAATATCTGCTCAGTTTATCAAGACCACATATTTACAAAAGCGCTCCGACGTTTTCGGAAACGTCTGTTACCCACTAGCTCGATAGCTAGCCGGGGGCAAGGCTCACTAGAGCCGTGAGAACACCGGACTCCTGGCAATTCGTTGTCAAACCCACCGCTGTCTCTCGCTACTCAGGTTAAACATGATATATAAGTCACTTAGATAACTTA